GGTTGTAGGGTGCGCACGTCTCAGGGAGGACTTTTCTTTTCCGTCGGTGAGCGTTTTCTTTTTGAAAGGGGTTTGGTTGAGGCCTGCTGAAATAAAGATTGAATAGGCAGCATTAAGACCCTTGAGGGGATGTCCGCGGGGGGGGGATAAGAGTGATGATGGAAATATTTTCGAACGATTGAGAAGTTTTCACGGTTCTAGCATCACTGGAGACTGGTTTTTTTTTCCTTACCTTCTTGCCAGTGTTGGACTCAGATGAAGCCCTACTAGAGAATAGCGGTTCGATTACTGATACAGTTGATGGATTGCGGTATTCTAGCCTTCCAAGGTTTCCAACCTCCTCCCTTTTTGCCTTCACTTCATCTGGGCTTGCCTTGCGACGATGGAGGGAGGAGGGCGGGGTTGTGTTTGCGCATTGACGGGTTTTATGCAATGGGGGTTGGGGGTTTTGGGGGGGGGGAAGCAAGGGACAACTCTGAATGTTTGATGCGTTGGCCTTGTGGTGCGGGATGTTGCGCTTCGGGGAATCCCATGTCGTTCGGCCTGAACCTTTTCATTGACGACCGAGACTGGTTTTTTGGTTGTGAAGTAGAGCTTGGGTTTTTGCGTCTTGAATATGTGTGGCGATGTGGGTGGATTTGAACGGTGGTGGTGAGTCACGTTCGGGACATCGTAGGCATGATGCGAGATCCAGAAGTAAAAACCCGCCCGGGGCGGCTGGAGCGTAACGACGAGAAGGGTTGGGGGGATCCCCGGACGATAGTCTTTTTCAATGTAGTCGTTTTTTCTTCGGGCCTTGGATCTTGAGAGGTCGGGAGGCCTTTGCGGGACGGGGATATTCGTTGTTGGAGGAGAGCCGTGCTGAACCGTTTTACGGGTTGACGCGCGTGAGATGAGATGATCGATGTTGTATGCCGTGTTTCCCACATGGTTTCGGTCCCCGTTCGTCTGATCTCGTTGGAGTGCCTGCGCCTTCAGAGAGGGAACGGCATCTGTGGAAAGGCGTATGGTGACTGCGTTCAGGGGAGCCCATGGCTCGAATGGCGAGCCGGCATCAGGTTCTGGCGTTTTGTTATGAGCTGCAGACTCTTGTCCTTTTCGCTTTGGAGATGACTTTGCTGTTCGACGGGACGCTCTTCACGTTGTCCCGCGTTGTATCAGGGTGCCTGGCTGAGGCACGTTACCATGTACGGGTCTACCGTCGACATGGACCAGCGTCGCCTGTGATTGCTTTGGAAGGAAGCTGACCAGGTTCTACACTGTCTTTTCGCTCGTGGTGGTAGGTACTTGCTTGCATTCATATCCGTGGAATAGAAAACGGCCTGTGGTTAAGGGGCAATAAACCCATGGATCGTGTGAAGCTGGAGAGTTGAGGAGGCTTCAAAGTATTTGAGGAGGGTTTGGATGGGGGGGTTGCTTGTGCCGCCTTTCTTCGATTGGGGTATGGACCTGATCGAGTCCTGGCGCCGATTGTTTCCGTGTCCTCGGGCGGAGAAGAAGAGCATATCAATGCTTGGATGAGACGGTAGAACGGAGGATGTGTGGGTCAACGTCATGGCCTTCTTCTTGACGTCGAGACCGGGTTGGACCGCTTGAGCATTACTCCCACGTTGATAGTTGGTGAAATTCAGTTCAGACAAGTTGATAATATCAAGTTGATTATATATGGCGAAGCAATCTGTCTGGATGATTCTCGACTTGGGAAGATGTGCCGTTGGCCTCGTCGAGTTTGGCCTCCCATTTGTTGTGGTTCTCTCGAGTAGGCGGGATGGCACTCGGAGAAAGTGCTATGCCGTCGTTCCCGTTTGCCGTTGAGATCTTCACGTTACTAGAGAAAAACCTTTCAGACTCAACGCTCATACTCGGAATTGTCGGAGACGTTTGATTGTAAAAGGTCAAGGACCAGGAGACGTTGTTGATGTCCGCGGCAGACCCCGAAGGAAGACACCTTAATATCTGCGAGTAGGCAATGGTGTGCCGCTCTTGATTGCTAAATACTATCACGGAGCATTGACATTGCGCAAAGAAATGCAGAGTACAGGAAGGTGACTCGATAAATTGACTTCGCTGAGGCGCGACGACGTCTTTCTTTGCGTATTTAGATATCGGGACTGAACAGATACTACGTAGTAGCCAGATCATACCTAAAGAGACGTAAACTAGTCCTGATCGTCGTCTTGGAAGAATATGACACCAAGAAAGCTGCTTGGTGCAAAGGTGTGTCTTGGGAATGGCTTTTCCTTGAGGGTATTCGATGCTAGATATGGGGAGGCGAATGTCCGTGGAGGCATGAAAGCAGACTTCAGCAGATGATTAATTCCAGAGCGCTTGGTTCAGCGCAACTTCCTAAAACATACTTGAAAGGTACATGACCAAGCCACCGCTCCCATCTCCTGGCAATAGCCAGATGTCTGGTTCTGCCCATGCCCCTGGCCGCCAGATATGCGCCCAGATTTGGTGATGATTGCCCATGGCTGCATGTTTTGGTTAGATCATGAGTGATCTGCCGGCTTCTCTTGTGAGTTCGGATACGCGTGTCTGGAGAGAGTCTTTTGAGACAAACAAATGACGGCAGCCGCGTACCTACAAAGGTTCCATGGGGCATACCTTCGTACTAAGTGACAAATGCCACAGAAAGTAGCCATAGAGGCTTCTACGAGGCCAATCAACATAGTTAGCCGACATGATCATGTCAGCGTGATTGTAATGTACGGGTAGGCCTGAAGAGGTGCAATCCTATCCCCAGTATCACTGCACCGAACAATCTGCAAGTCTATGTCGTAGCACCTTGATCGGAAGCTCTGCGAGTGTTGCAACGACCGATTTGACGCTTCTTTGAGAATGCCCAATCCAGATTCTGGAGAATCAAGATGGCCCGAGGTCAACGTTTTGCTATGACCATACAAAGACAAATGAGAAAAATATTTACACGGAAGAGGCTCACTTGTGGAGATTTGATTAGAACTTATTAACTTCAAGCACACTACACCTCATGGACTCAGATATAAAGCTTAATGCTGGGTAGTTCATGTACAAATGTCGGTTCGTCGTTTCGCATCGAATAGAGACAAAGTTCAGGGCGAACTAGAACGGGTCTTAAGAGAGAAACTATCCAAGAGGCATGGAAGCAAACGAAGGTACATGTAAAAGGTGGGAGGTCATGAGAATTCAGGTGGTCAAGCTTTTGGGTATCAGACCACGCAAATTATTCGCAAGACGAGCTAGAGCAAATTGGAAGCCGACCCATACACCAAGCGAGGGGACCTAGATTTGTGAGAGATAAGAAGCCAGAATGTCTATACCCCTTTGCCACTTCACTAACATCTCATGTCCCTTCTAAGACGCTGGAATTCCCTCATTGACCTACTCCTACGGTGATTTACGAGTTGATAACTGATCTCGGAGTATCTGTCCAGAATAGTACCCCAAGTCGATCATTCGCCCATTCTCGGACCAGATAACATTACCCTTCTCGCAATTGAACTCAAAGGGCTTGGGTGTCTTGAGAATCTATGATTCGGCATCATTGACTACACGTCTAGGACAGGGCCTCGACTGGGTGTCGAGATCAAGGGACCACACTCAAGCCTGGAAGGGGTTTTCAGCCTGCCTCAAGTTTTCAGGCTTATGTAGAGAGAAGGGACCGTAGTCACGGTTGCTCTGACAGAGTTTTGTGAAGTAAACAAGACGAAGAAGAATGGATACAATGGCATTCTCGAGGAGCATGGAGACATGTAGCCACCTATCATCTCATTGCTTCGAACTCCTAGCCAGTAAACACCCAAGATACATCTGCTGGAAATAGCTTGCCCCTCGTCTTATTGTCTACTTAATTTATTATACGGATAAACGAAACCAAGAGCATCTCTCCGGTCCTGCGCTCAACAATCAGCTTGCCAACCTCGGACGTGGTGAATGCTGACATTATCGAAGGAGCGGGATCCCAGAGCACCAAATGATCAGATCACGCCACCTGGGCGGAACTACAAACCCCACGTTCCGAAGACGACCCGAAAATCTTGTGAATCAGTCAATAAATTTGGGATTTGGATTATTTTTTCGACATATCAAACATCGCTACATAGAGAGCAAAGATAGTAACTTCAGGTACTGGCGCCTTTAGGAGGCCTTCACCGGAAAGCAATACCGAATACACCGACCGGCACTCCCCAGAGGCAAAAACTCTTCAAGGCCGGCCTCAGGAAAGAGTGAGACTAGGAGATCGCTCTCTCGGACTTATCACGTAATGGGTGCCTACTAGAGGGAAGTATCACATTCGCTTGGAGCAGGACCCGCTGGCAGCCCATTCCTTATGAGCCCGTAATCTTCCGGCAAATTCTCTGCCGCCAACTCACGACTCACATGCCTGCTTCCTTTGAAGAGTTATCTCAGAGGAGGAATTCCTCGACGGTCATTGCTGCGCGTGGTCCTGGGTCTCCATCTGCCAAGAAGCTTTGACTTGCCATGCAAGAACTGGGGGCCAAAAGCTCGTAGGGCTGGGAAGCCAAGAGTTCATCAAGATGTGGCCGGGGCATGTTGGCGCTGCTTGGGAGAATCTCGTGCGAGTCAGAAATCAGATATCAATTATTCCCTCCCGAAACCTTTCTCCGGGGCCGACTTTGTTTCCCAGTCCCAAGTCGTGAGGCCGAGACCGGGTCGTCGGGCGCATCCTGGTGCGAGGGCAGCTGCTAAATCACTGAGAAGAAGAGATGTTATTGGGAGACGTCCGGTGAGCTAACCTCGGAAAAGACCCAGCAGTCAGGCTCCCTCTAGACTCTAGCTCGCCAAGCAACCGCGCAACTCAAAGATGAGACTTTAAAAAAATTCTGTTGCCTCCTGCTCGGATACCCTCTTACCAATAGCTCCCCGCGCCAGACCCCTTCCGCGATAGCGCCCCGGCCCGCAAAGCCAAGTCCGGCCAAGTCTGCAGTCTGGCCCATCTAATCTAATCAATCAGATAACACCATCCCGAGTATCCCTCACCCACCCATCCCACTGAAATGGTGTCGGGAACCCGGCACTACGGGTCTGCTCTCGCCAAGCCCGCAGCTGCTTTGTGCTTTTCGCAGGATCCTTCGCAAAAAGTCCCCTCCAGGGCTCTTCCGTCCCGTCTTGTCTTCCCACCCCAACGCCATCCGTCCTGTGATCTATCTGGCCCCTCATCCGCCGCCATCATGGGTCGCCTCCCGACCTCTCGGTTCCTGGGCGCAAGAAAGCACACTAGACGGCCCCGACTTCGGTCTCCTGCGCGCTGGTGGTGGTGTGTGTGTGCCTGTTATTCCACTCTGATCTCTGCAAGTATGGACGAGTAGCCGCATCTTATCAGATCACAGCCTGCTGTTGAAAGGGGGACGTGGTGTGCGTGGGTCAAAGGTGAATCCTTCCGGCCGCTAACTTCGTGATGGGATGGTGTAGAACTTAGCGAGGTCGCAAAAAGTGGCACGCTAGAAAGGCGGCACGTATTCGCGCCCTCCTCTGGAAGGGTCTTTAACTACAAGGCGAACCCCCCCAAACCACCGGCCGCTTTTCTCTTCTTACTCTGGATTTGGTCATTAATCTCTTCCTGCCGCTTTCCGCTTTGTTTGTCTTTGGTGTAAAGCGCATCATGGCAGTGATTTCGCAGCTTCGTGAGGCCCTCGGCCGCAAGCCGGCCCCGGTCGACGACGCACCCATGACCATCACCACGGCGCCGGAAACCGCCAACAACAATGACGACAAGGAACTGGGTGAGATCCCGCCCGACGACGAGAAGCCGGGCGAGGAGCAGAGGGTCAGCCAGGAGGTTCAGCATGGTGTCAAGTTGGCGCAGGCTTTGACCTTGACGTGGGGCAAGAACTCGCTGATTGCCATCTTCATCTTGTAAGGACTCTTTCCCTCGAACCTCTCGCATACCCTGGCGAGACTCGCATCATGAGGAATGGCATGACTGATATCAGGGTCATTTACTCCCCTGTGCAGCATGTGGTTTCTGTACCTCACCAACGGATTCCAGAGTTCCGTGCTGTCCAGCTTGACGCCGTATGCCGCCAGCGACTTTGAGTCGCACTCGCTCCTCCCCGTCATCGACATTGTGTCCAGCGCCATGACGGCTTCGGTGTACATCCCGCTGGCCAAGATTCTGGATCTTTGGGGCCGAGCGGAGGGGTTCTTGCTCATGGTGCTCTTCGCGACGCTGGGTATGATTATGTTGGCCGCCAGCCAGAACCTTGCCACGTACTGTGCCGCTACCGTAAGTTTCTAGACTTCTTCCCGCACTTTGATCGCCAAATTGGCGCAAAGAAAAGAGAAAACAACCAAAATACTCATGCAGGAAATCTTGAGGTCTTTTGGCAAGTGGGCTGGTCCGGTCTCACGTACAGCATCGACGTGATCACGGCGGACTCAACCCACGTCAAGAACCGAGGGCTGGCGTTCGCCTTCACCTCCTCGCCCTACATCATCACGGCGTTCGCCGGCCCCAAGGCCGCCGAGGGCTTCCTGAACAACGTCAACTGGCGTTGGGGCTTTGGCTGCTTCTCCATTGTCTTGCCCGTCGTCGCTGTGCCCATGTACAGCATCCTGAAGTGGAACATTCACAAGGCCAAGAAGCGCGGTACTCTGGTGCGCGAGCCTAGCGGCCGTAGCTTTGTGCAGAATGTCTGGTGGGGTCTGATCGAGTTTGATGGTATGCTTTTTTCTTCCCCTTTGAATGAGGGCTTCTTCTCCGCCATTGCTCAAGCCTCGAGGACATTGCTGATTAGCTTCACTCAGTCCTGGGAATTGTCCTCTTCGCCTGCGGTCTCGTCACCTTCCTGCTCCCCTTTTCCCTCGCAAGCACCGCCCCGGACGGCTGGAAATCAGCATACATCATCGCCATGATCGTCACAGGCTTCGTCGTCCTCGCCCTCTTCCTTCTCAACGAGCTCTACCTTGCGCCCAAGCCCTTCCTCAAGTTCGAGTTCTTCTCCGACAGGACCGTCATCGGCGTCTGCGTCCTCGACATCACGTACCAGGTCGCCTACTACTGCTGGAACAGCTACTTCACCTCCTTTTTGCAAGTCGTCAACGATCTCTCCGTCTCCAACGCGGGCTACGTCGGCAACACTTTCGACGTCGTCTCGGGCGTGCTCCTCTTCATCGTCGGCTTCTCCATCTCCAAGACGGGCCGCTTCCGCTGGCTCCTGATGGTCGGCGTGCCGCTGTATACCTTTGGCCAGGGGCTCATGATTTACTTCCGCCAGCCGGGTCAGAGCGTCGGATACCTGGTCATGTGCCAGATCTTCACGTCCATTGGTGGCAGCGTCTTTATCCTGTGCATGCAGGTCGCTATCCTGGCGGCCGTGGACCACCAGCACGTCGCCGCCGCGCTCGCGCTCCTGAGCGTCTGCGGCAACATTGGCGGCTCTGTGGGGAACACCATCTCTGCGGCCATCTGGACCAACACGTTTGAGAAGGCTCTGGAGCGGAACCTTCCCGAGTCTGCGCTGGGGAGTCTGGCGGACATCTATGCGGATCTCGATACGCAGCTGAGCTATCCCGTGGGAAGCGATGAGCGACTCGCCATCCAGAACGCATACGGATATGCTCAGACGCGGATGCTTGCCGCTGGAACTTCGGTGATGGTGTTTGGGTTCATTGCTATTTTCATGATTAAGAATTACAACTTGAAGGAGATGAAGCAGACCAAGGGTCTTGTGTTCTAAGAGCCGGCTGTATCTGGGCTCTGGCAGAAAGACCTGTCAGTTCATGAGCTGTGTATGACTTGATTGACTAAATCAAGTTGGTGAGCATCAAATGGGGGCTGAGGAGATAGATATATGAAGTATATGATGAATGCATAAATTGAAGTTGGTACAAAATATGGACAACTGTTGCAACTGCGAATCAATCTTCTCAGTACGGAGTAGGAATGATGGGCTATGTTGTTGTTATGCCCTGAAAACTGACATCGATGTGGAAAGGGGCGCAAAAGGGGGTTTGCTTGAAGATGGGTATTGATATTGAAATGGGATTTCATGCATCGGTGTGGACGGCATCGGCAGTGACGTTGCAAGCCGGCGGGAAACAAAACAAAGCTCGAGGTACGTACACGGTACACGGGCACCGGTCGATAACGGGTGGGCTCGGTGATGACGACGACCAATCACCGCTGACGGCCGGATCAAGCCCGGACCCTTCGGTGCTGCTGCAGCCAGTGAAACGCCAACGGGTGGATCCACACACGGCGGAGGCTTTTCCCCACGTCGTTTTTGGGTGGAAAGAAGCTGCACTGCTGTGCTGGTCTCGAGTGCTTTGCCTCTTTGCGGTCTGTCGCTGACCTTTTTTTCTTTGCCGCCGACGCGAGTCCACTTTCTGACCTACCTTACCTGACCTCGTCTTGAGAGTCGAGCTATCTGAACCCCCATCTCCCCAGAAGCTGTTGGACGTCAAAGATCAGGAATTTTCAACACTCCCCTCTCTCCAGCAGTACTTCTTGGCTTGTTAACTGGGTTGAAACCGACAAGATGTCAGCGGACGACCAGCAGTTTTTGGACGTTGTAAGCATCATCCGCCCCCACACCAAACACCTCCAAGCTTGTGATCACGAGAGCTCTCTACTGACACCGCCCTCTCGTTCCCACAGCTGTCCTCGCTGCCCAACAAGATCCGGGGCTACTCCGACGACCTCGCCAACCTCATCAACCCTACCGTCGATAAGGCTGCACAGGCCGTACGAGAGACGCTCTCCTCCTCAGAATGGCTGCCCGACTCGGTGCGGCCGAAGCCCCCCGTCCGCCATATTCCTATTGAGGTGATAGCTATGAGCCGGTACGAGAGGTTGCACGGTTGGGTAAAGGAACACAAGCTGCTGACCGGTGCCATCGTCGCCGTCGTGGGAGTCGTGGCATACCGATCATACAGGAGTAGCAGGTTCTGCAAGAAAACGCGCCGGGCGAAACGGGCTAGGAACGGCGGCCGTCTCGAGGTTGTCGTTATCGCTGGCTCACCGACACTACCCTTGACAAGGTCGCTATCACTCGATTTCGAGAGAAGGGGATTCATTGTTTACATCGTCTGCAACGCCGAGGAGGATGAGAGCATGGTGCACAGCTTGGCAAGGCCCGACATTCTGCCTTTGACCATTGACACAACGGATGTGAGTAGAGTCGGCATGCAGTGTAGGCCTTCACTGACGTATGTAATAGCCTCCCAGAGCTGGCGCTGCCATCGACAGCTTCGCGCAGTATCTTCAATCACCACACGCCCCGGTACCGCGAACGAGGCCCAACCATCTCCAGCTCAAGTCTGTCATACTCATCCCGTCGCTCAACTACCAAACGTCACCCATCGCCACTATCCCGCCCTCCAGCTTCGCAGACCTCTTCAACACCCACCTGCTCCACCCCATCTTGACCATCCAAGCCTTTCTGCCGCTCTTGACGACTCGCCTAAGCCCGCCCGGAGAGAAGTGGACGCCGCCAAAGGTCCTCGTCTTCACGCCGTCCATCATCTCCTCCATCAACCCCCCGTTCCACGCCCCCGAAGCAACCGTCTCCTCCGCCTTATCAGCCTTCACCGAGGTCTTGACGGCAGAGCTGCGACCCCTCGGCATCCCCGTGACCCACATGCAACTGGGCACCTTCGACTTCACCGGCTTCCAACCCGCCAAGCACACCCACCCTTCCCAGAGAGGTCTCCTCGAAGGCGGGCCCGGCATCGACGCCGACGCCACAGAAACCCTCATGTGGCCCGAGAACGCCCGCCACGCCTACGGACGCAACTTTGTTATGCAGAGCACCTCCGCCATCTCGGCCGGCCGCATCCGCGGTCTGAAGGGCAGCTCCCTCCGCCACCTCCACAACGCAGTCTTTGACGTCATTGACGGGTCCATCACCAGCGGCACCGTCCGCGTCGGTCTCGGCGCCGGCGTCTACGGCTTCGTCGGCCGCTGGGTGCCCCGCGGTCTCGTCTCGTGGATGATGGGCATCCGCCGCGTGGACGAGCTGTCGGCGTGGCAGACCAGCTCTTATGATGGGTCGCTCGACGGTAGTGATAACGACGAGGGCCAGGATTTCGTTGCTGTGCCTGATGAGAAGTTGGATAGCAACGTGTGGAAGTCGTCTTAGAAGGACTTGGTCTTGGCCAGCGTCTCTTGCATCACACCAGGATGTACTTTCACAGAGGGTGTACAAGCAACCGATGGAATGAACCCTAGGCAAGATGCTTAACTAGGCAAAGGGACTAACGGCCTTAGCCGGCTGATAATAGCCGACGACTCGGGCTACCGAGAGACGCGCTTAGGCGACAGGGTTATGAGCAATCTATCTAGCCTGCGTCAGCGAGCGAAACCGAG